CAGCACATGCTAACCCCTAGCTAGAAGAGATGGCAGGGGGGCCATAGTTGAAATTCCTGGATAATATTTCTTCTACACTTCAGCTCGATGTGCTCAGATGAGCCAGGCACTAATTTTAGCCCGAGTGAGAAGCGAAAAAGAGGGAGCGAGAGAAAGAGAGTGAGAAACTTCCCAGTGTGAAAGAGATTTAATTCTCCAACAAAAGCAGACAGTGAGAGAGAGAGATGAACGGCGAAGAACAGAACAGAGAGACGCAGTGACGAAACACTGAAAATACAGTACAATATAAACAGACTATGTACATTTTTGTCTGTAAGACAGGTCTGTATGACACACAGTCCAATACAAATCGCATGCTTTCATACATCATGTACATTTCACACAGTATAAAAGTCTCTCACAGCACTCTTTCGAAAAAGCTACTAATCCGTCCCATGCTAGTGCTAGCTAGCTTGGACACCCAAAATGTCAAATGACATGTTTTGCTGATTTTGTGAAGTTAACACATCCACGGCTAATGTGAATGTGGCACTGTTCTGCACATTTTATTGCACGTTTCTATTTATTTGCAGGTTTTAACATGTTGGAACAAAACTAAAGAACAAAATATAAAAAGTGCCATAACTTTTACACAGGTTATGCTTTGTTTTTCTTCCTAATATGTTAAATTGAGCAAAATAAACAGTCACTGTGTATTAAAATGAGCAGAAGTGCGTTCTCTGTAGACTCGTTTTCACCGAGACCAGGGGCGCCCAAACTTTTGCACACAGCTATGTATGGACTTTTTCTCTGGTTGAACCCCATTTGTATCTGAAGAAGCCCAGTATCTGTTATTTGGCCATATATGCACATATTTCAAAATATATGTACATATATGTTGTATAGATATATGTAAGTATCAAATATTAGACATATATGCATCTATAGGTATCATATGTCCGATACATGGTTGAATGCATCCCAGTTACTACATTATGTTTCCTTTTAAATATTAAATTATTACAATGTATCAGGGAACAATATTTGCATATATTTTGTTTTAATTATTTTATATAACACTGTGCATGCTTTTAAAGTTTAATTATGCAGCTGTTATACTAGCATATATGAGTAATACATACCCTTCATATATGAATGTTTTCTGTTATATATTACTACATATACAAGTTTGTATATGCTGAAACATGGCTGAACTATGTGTCACACATATGTCCACATGTAACAAGTTGGATATACGTTGGATGTAAATCTACATATGCTAATATATGTCATATATTTGAACTCCATATATTGCCATATATCAGATTTCTGTATGGGACGATCTGATGATTTGTCATTTATGATGCTGATTTGAGGATCAACTTATCCTAACCTGTACTGAACACAGTAGCTTACCGTTCAGCACAAGGCCGCTTTAAATGCTGGCTAACTCGTTAACCAGTGAATCTAGCTTCATGAAATACAGCCTCAGTGTTCACACAGCCAAAAGCAGCATGCTGGATGATGGCGAGATTTAGCAACAATTAGCATCTGATTAGCATCAAAGGCACTTTAGATGTGCTGCACTTAAAAAAAAAGACAATACAAAGTACAAAGTACATCTGAATCCCCAGACTGTTTGGTCTGTGTAGTTTGCTGCATTTACAAAACATCAAGGCCCATTAGCCAAGCTATCCGAGTATGGCTTTAGAACAAGCTTTTTCAGTTGTTGGGCTCGGTCCATTATATTGTCGTTAGAAAAAAGGCCTCTTTTCCTGCTGGCGTAGTCACACAAGTACACAGCAAAGCCAAGACTGTGGCTGGAGGGAGTAACTATTTTTGACTTCTGAGCCCACAGGTATCTGATCTAATAGCCAACAGATGTAGCTAATGACCATTTACTGATTAACTTAAGCAGATCTTTCATTAGATCAGAATAAAGAACATTTATCTGAGAGCTTGAACTTTTTCACAGCTTCACCCACTGCACTGGGAAATGTACCAATGTTCCCAGGGTTCTACATTCCCAGGGTTCTATGTTTCCAGGGCTCCATGTTCAGATCTTTAAACGATACATCACACCTCAATGTGATACATTAAGCATGCAAATGATTCTGTACGCAACGATGAGTTCTGTAACGAACCATTGCATGCTTAAATGCTTCTTTGCATGGTGAAACGGTTCTTCAGATTGATGAAGAATGTGTTGTATGTGGTTTTGAAAATGGTTCCATATAGCACCGAAAAGAGTTTTGCTGTGGTTACGATATCATGCTACACAATGCTACTTAGAACCATACACAACACACTAAATAGAACTACTGCCTTTACTAAAGAACCCTTGAAGAACCATCTTTTTAAAGTGTATATGAAAGGGTTCCTAATGTCCTGGTTAATGTCATAGGGTTATCAAACGTGCAAGGAAGGAGCAGATTTTTTAATAGGAGCGCACTTTGCCTCAGCTAGGCAAGCCTCAGTGAGCTAATTAGCTGACAAAGTTAAGCTAAGCAAACTTTGTAATTCAAACCATTTTTCTGAGAAGTCAGAATGTAGAATATATAAATGTTTTGAATTATTATTTTGTCTAGTTTAATTGTGGTAGCTGCCTTTCTTATTCTGTTGCTGCAAGTTGTGCAGTCATTAGCAAGTTAGCTCGATAAAGTAACATGGTATAAGAGGAAATTATGAGGGCATGTTGAAAACTTTAATGTTAAGGAAATGTGACTGAGGCAACATGGGAGTATAGAGCTATTTCATTTCTAATTCAGCTACTTTATTTCCTAAAAACTGCAAAGAGAAAACGAATGGCCTGGGGAACATATAACCCTGGGAACATACAGATGACCCACAGCACTGACAGCCGCAAGCTAATCCACAAGCTAATTAGCGTCATGAATGCCCTGCGGCCTGCCACAAAACTGCCCAACCTGGGTACTGAGAAGGAATGATTTTGTGGGGTTGCAGCAAGGTGGTCAAAAAAGAGCATAGCCTTATATTTCTGACAGCATTTTTTGAGAACGACGTCTATGGATATTAAAATCTCTAGAAATATTCCATTGTTATTATAAACTTAAACCAAAAGAGTCCACGAGTTGGACTGTAGCAAAACATTCTCTAACTGGTGGCAGTGTGCAGCAGTGCTTAGCCTAGCAGCTAACTTTGCCTTTCCCTTTATGCTGTATCAGCATTATATGATTATTAGCTAACACTGTTAGCACTGAACCTCCAAAACTGAGAAAATGGTACTTTAACTAGTGTCTAAACATCAACATTTAACCACTGGCTATAAATAAACACCTGAAAGAGAGACTGCATCATATGCAGTCAGTCAGTATTATTATTATTATTATGATTATTATGCATTATTATCTACACTTTTGTTTTAGTCGAGTTAGCCAGCTTGCTAACGGTGATGTTAGCGCCATGGCTAACTGCAGATGCACAGAAGTCACTGCACTGCTGCCATGACTGCAGTTATCTACATTTTTTGCTACAGATCAGTGAGCAGCACTGTGCTTCCATGGGTATATAATTGATATATAATTATGTTCACTTTTGTATCATTACTCTGTATGGTTAATGAGAAAGCTCGCTTGCTAACTGCACCAACATAGAGGATATTTTTCCTGGCCAGTCTTCCGGTGGTCTACTTTTCTTGGTTTCCAGTCATGATTTTTATTTAATTATTGGATAAACCATATACATCACAGCTATTAATCAACAACTCTGGGAAAACCTATAAAAAGCATAGGTAGAAATGAATGTGCCTGATTTTTTTGTAAACTTAATATATTTGGGAGAGAAGCTTACCCCAGTCCAGCCTTGATCATGACCAATTCGCAAGGGGTTTGAGAACCGCAACAGTCTGGTGTGATTGTAGCTTAAATCATTCAAATATAGCTCACGATTCACTTCATTCAGAATGACTTAGAAGAGAAAAAGAGCAATTGGATGTTTGCAGATACTGTTTTGTTGGCTCAGAAACTCCAGGCTTGGAACATACTAAGAGTAGCAGCAGGGATAGCAATGTAGCATGTCTTTCCAACAGAACTGAACAGCAGAGCCAACATTTCAGTGCTAGGAAGTTCACTTCCCCTAAAAACTGACCTCATCGGACAGCCCAGTTAGACCTAGTTACATAAATAATGGCTTTTAACTGAAGAAAAATGAATGTATGAATGAGTTCTGAAGTATTTTCCTGACAAAGCGTTCTTGGCCCACCACTGAGTGCTAAGGAAGCATAATGTTGCTGAGCAAATACAGCCGTCTGAGACAGCTATCAATGATGCTTTCAGATATATCCTACATTAAGAGTTACAATAAGTAGTTTTCTATTAAAACTTGATGAAATATAAAGAAAACTGAACGTAACTTGTGTGGTGTGGAATGTTCCATTGTTAGATCAGGGCCTATCCTTACTACAGCGAACAGGCAGGCTAATCCAGTTCAACGCAAAATGAAAAAATGCTACTTATCGCTGCTTTTACAGTTGTTGTTTTTTCCTGCACAGTTCCTATTCACCCTAATGCCAAGCTGCCTGAAGTGTAAGATGCAATCTGCTCTGGCTCAGTAGTTATACGAATAGATTAGTCAGAAATGCTAATTTTGCTAATAGCGATTATGCTAATATGCTAATAACATCATGGCAAGGAGACTAGCTTCTACTCACTGTTAGCAATGTAAGCATGCTTGGTTGAGATTTAAAGAATGAGGCAGTGGCGAATAAGTGGTTAGTGCCCTGGGTGATTGATCACAGCGTTGTGGTGCCTGCTAGGTTGCAACTATTGGGCCTTTGAACAAGGCACTTAACCCTCTCTGCTCCAGGGTTGCCATATCGTGGCTGACCCTGAGTTCTGACCCCAGCTTTCTAAGCTTTTCGCTAACAGCGATTATGCTAATATGCTAATAACATCATGGCAATTGGAGGAGACTAGCTTCTACTCATTGTTAGCAATGTAAGCATGCTTGGTTGAGATTTAAAGAATGGGGCAGTGCCCTGGGAGATTGATCACCGTGTTGTGGTGTCCGCTAGGTTGCCACCATGGGCCCTTAAGCAAGGCACTTAACCCTCTCTGCTCCAGGGTTGCCATGCCATGGCTGACCCCATCTAAGCTGGGATATGAGAAGAAAAGAATTTCGTTGCACTGTGTAAAGCATATAAGCATAATGACTGTAAAGGCACTTAAGAAAAAGAAGGCTACAACTTGACCAGTCAACTAATGATTGCTGGGCTATTGGAAAATTCTTAAAGCACCTAACATGCAATAAAAAGCAATCAAAACCATCTAAGAACAGGTAAAAATTGGTGACTTAGTATACAAACTCACTTCCAATGGGTGATAAGCAGTTCTGGGGTCAAGACATAATCATAAAATATAATAAAATATATGTATACCTTTGCCACTCTTGTCACTCTGTACATTTAAGCAGTTTGTCAGGTTTAAATTTCATCGGTTGCTCTATGTCTAAAGGTCCTCCAGGCCTCTAGGTGTCGCTGTTTCTGTGTTGTGCCGTGCATTTCTCCAGAAGACTGAAGGGAAAAGACAGCAGCAAGAAGAGGACGCCGCCCAAAATGAGGATGGCCCCAGCTGAGCCTACGCACGCCACTGACCAGGACAGCTCGTAGTGCAGCGGGATTGTGTGGTCACTCGCCAACAACGACAGCACCGATTGGTGGAAAATTATGATGGACAGCAGAATCAGGATACCTGAAACGGAAACCGGGAAAAGAGAAGGTCTGAAAAAGTTGCAAATCTGACCAACCCAGAGGTTGTTATGTCATTAGCTTTATTCACAAAGCAGAAGGATTTTTTGTTACTTCATGTTCAGATAAGCTGTACCCTGAATTGAGAGCAATTTGGGTAAAACTCGTCTGTAACCTCAAATAAATTGCAATGTTTAAAGCCTAAAATCCACATCAGTTAATATTTGTTCACTTGATTGGCTAGTTAGGCAGCTAAGCAACAAGCTTGCAGGTATTGTTTCTTTTTTTTCCTCCCAATTTTCTCCCCAATTTAGTCGTCTCCAATTCCACCCCGCTAGTTAGGACTCCCCCAATCACACGATGCTACCAACGCTAGGAGGGCAAAGGCAGCACAGGCTTCCTCTGAGTCCTGTGAAGCTCCACCGCTTCTTTTCGAGCTGCTGCTCTCGCAACGTCACTGGACAGCTGAACGCGCTCGGAGGAAAGCGCCAACCGCCAGATCTGTTACGTCAGCTAACAGACGCCTGTGCTGACTAGCGTTGCGCTGAGTGATGGGGGAGACGGGGGTCCATCCAACCCACCCAGAAAGAGCGAGGCCAACAGTGCTCTCTTGAACTCCCAGCCATGGATGGCTGTGGCATCACCAGGGATTGAACTTGCGATCTCCTGATGACAGGGCCAACGCTTAGACAGTCGCGCCACTTGAGAGCCCCTTGCAGGTATTGTTAGCTAATATATTTCACCTTACCACAGATTTGAAGTAGGGGAGAATGCAGCACAACCTAACATGTAACAGATAAAACAGATTTTTTCCGTAGTTGAACGGATCAAACAGAACAAGCTTTTGGTTTCATTGACTATAGTGAAGCCTTGTCAACTATATAAAATTAAGGAATGTCCTTAGGAAAATGGGAAAAACAGAGCATCTTATTGTTCTAATGAGGAACTTTTACACCAATCAACAAGCCACAATCATGACAAAAAATGGAAAAACAGACTGGTTCCACATTGGCAAAGCCGTTAGACCAGGCTGCCCACTATCACCATACTTGTTGAACTTGTGTGCATACATATATTGAGAGAAGCAGGACTGGAGAAAGGTGATTGAAAATTCAGGATCAGTGGAAGAAACATCGATAACCTTCCATATCCGGAAGATGCAACACTCATAGTGGGAAATCTGTAAGACCTGAAGGCCCTCATAAGGACGACAGAGTGAAAAGATGGGACTTCAGCACAATATGAAAAAAACAAAGGGGATGGCAAGGAAACCAAAAAATGGATCTTCAACCAAATCAAGCCTCGCTGTTCACTCGAAGCCCAGGTAACCAAAATCAAGCTCTTATTTTGGACATATTATGAGAAGAGTCAATTAATTGCAAAATACCATTATGTTTGGAACAGCTGAAGGAAAAAGAGAAAGAGGATGACTAGCTACAAGATGGATAGATACAATCAGAGGAATCATGAACCTGCCATTCAGAAGCCTGAAGATCCAAAGAGAAGACAGGATATTGTGGAGGAACATTATCAATATGGTCACCAGCAGTCTTATTCAACTCAATGGTACTTAATAATAAGGTAAGCTTTTGGTAATCTAGTATTCTCGTATTCATCACATGCAAACGTTCACAGAAATCAGACAAGAATCACCCTGAAGACCACGTCACGGAATTCACACCTATATTATTTTAACCACCCTCTTGATGGCTGTAATGTAGCGCTGTTTTGAAGCATGCAAACATCTCACTATGAGAGCTAACAAGGCTAGAGTACTCCACATGGTGGAGTTAGTTTCAACATGCTGTTACAAGCCCTATTGGAACTGGATTAATATGACCAGAGGAGGTCCGGTAATGTAATTTGTGCAGGATTTGACTGGCCAATCCATACAGGACAAAAGATTTGTGTAATTTTCCCAAATTACCCCAAATAACCCAGATCAAACATGATGGTGCAGACATTTACGTCACCATTATGCGACAGGCGCCATACTTCTGAACAATAACAACACACTGGCTAAATGGCAGATAGCCAAGCTTTAGGCTAGTACAGCAGATTCCCAACAAGACAGAAAAATTGCGATAGGAGTTCCTTTTCCTTCTCATTGTACTTTGACCAATGCCAAAAACACGGATTTCAGTAGTCTCGTCATGAACTTGAGGATTAAGGAATCAAATCAAGCTCCAGTTAGCTGTTAGCCTTGTCTTCAGGTCAACAAAAATAAAGAAAGAAAATGGAGGCGCCGTTTTCTATTACCCAGTTTTGTTTGTACACTACTGTGATGTTGATTCGAACAGGACTGTTATTACTAAGGGAGCTCCAAGTTCAACAAATTTTAGAAGGTAATTAGCGCCGGAATCACTAATTAGTACTTAGCAGACTTGTAAACCTTGCAGATTAAAATCACGGATCTTGTCGGTAATCGCTCAAATTACAGCACCTCCCCAGATTAAACTAATCCAGCTCAAAAAGGGCTTAAGACTCCTATAGTAAAAAATGAGAAAAGATGATCCACTTGGAATAAGAAGATGGAATAAAGTGGCATTTCCAAAACTGGAGTTTTGGGACTCCTAACAACCACCTGGAAGACCTGGTAGAATCCAAAACTGTCCCCATCAGATAAGCAGCACTTAAAGCTTTCATCTCTGAGAGAGAGGAGAAAATCGAGCTGCTTCAGATCTGAAAACATCCACAGGTGTTTCTGTCCATCCTTCCACTGTGAGAAGACGACTCAGCGCTATGGGTCTCAAAGGATGTGTAGCTGTCAAGAAGAACCTCAATGAGAAAAGGAGACGGACACATCAAACAAAGAAGTTGAACAATGGACTGACCACCCCAGAGTCCAGACCTCAACACCACTGAATGTGTTTGATTACATCAGAAAATGATCAACCAGCTTCTAAGACTGAACTTTGGAGGTGTGTCTGCAGATTCTTTGAGGAACTGAGAGTCTCCTGAAAGGAATGGAGATATTATATGTAGTTGTTGAGGCATCTGTGTCAGTTTCTGTTAAGTAATTTGTACTTAAAACGCTGTTTTGACTTATTAAATAAAGGGTGGTCTCTGACTTTAGCACAGCGCTGTATATTTTATGTTTATTTAGGCTGTAAATATACAACATACAACATAAAAGTGTACTGAATTTTGTTTGCATCTTTTGCCAGATGTTTTGATAACTGTGACAGTTAACCCCTTTAACCCAGTTCATGTAGCCAGTTGCAGAAGTGTAGGGCTGCTTATATGAAGCGATTATTGCTCAAACTGTTTTAAATGATGTAGCAAAAATTATGTTAGGTTGTGTCTCGCTCTCCCCGAGTCACTGTGAGACTGTGATGTGTTTTTGTATCTGAGTAAGGTGAACGAGGCTGACCTGAGATGAGGAAGCAGACGGCGGCGGGCTTGAGGAGGAAGGGCACCCCCTTAGTGAGAGACATGGTGATGCACACGGAGCCCATCACCATCAGAAACAGACCGAACACGGCCAGCATCGCCGCGGCTAAACTGAGGTCTAATCACAGAGAGAGAGAACGGTCAGAAAAGTCAAGACATTCTTCTACACCTCACTGATTCACTGGTGGATGTAAGAGCGTTCACAGAGCTGCAGCTTAGCAGAGCAGCCTTTACACCAGAGCTGAAAAGACGAAGGAAGAGGAGAAGAAAAGAGGAGAACAGATGAGGAGAGAAGAGAAGAAAAAACAGGAGAGAAGAGAAAAGAGGGGACCAGATGAAGAGAGACAAGATAAGGAGAACAGAGGAGGGAGGAGAAACAGAGAGGAGAAAAGAAGAGAGAAGATGAGAAGAAGATAGGATAAGGGCAAAGAATACAAAAAAAGACAAGAGGGGATAAGAGTAAAGAAGAAGAGAGGATAGAAGAAAAGAAAAGAATAGAAAAGGAGAAATGAAAGATGGAAGAGAAAAAGAAAAGATGAGAGGAGGGGAGAAAACAAGGGAAGAGAAGACAAAAGCAAAGAGAAGAGAAAAAGAGAAAAGGGGTTAAGATATGGTATGATAAGAGAAAAGAAAAGAATGAAGAAATGAGAAGGGAATAACAGAGAAGAGAAATGCAGACAGGAGAAGATAAAAGAAGAAAGAGAGAACAGAAAACGATAAAAGAGGATCAGTTAGGATAAGAGAAGAGAAAAAATGAGAAGAGAGGAGAAGTTAGGATAAGAGAAGTTAGAATAAGAGAAGCTAGAATAAGTTAGAATAAGAGAAGAGAAAAGAAGAGAAGAGAAGAGAAGAGACGTTAGAATAAATGAAGTTAGAATAAATGAAGTTAGAATAAGATGAGGGGAGAAGAGAAGAGAAGAGAAAAGAAGTTCAAATAAATGAAGTTAGAATAAGAGAAGTTAGGAGAAGAGAAAAGAACAGAACAGAACAGAACAGAAGTTGGAATAAATGAAGTTAGAATAAGACGAAGAGAAGTTAGGAGAAGAGAAGAGAGGAGAAGACAAGAGAAGAGGAAAGAAGAGAAGAAAAAGAGAAGAGAAGCGAAGAGAAAGAGAAGAGAAGAGAAAAGAAGTTAGGAGAAGAGAAGACAAGAGAAGAGAAGAGAAGAGAAGTTTGAATAAATTAAGTATTAAGTTAGAATAAGAGCAGAGAAGTTAGGAGAAGAGAAGAGAAAAGAAGTTAGGAGAAGAGAAGAGAAGAGAAGAGAAGAGAAGAGAAGAGAAGAAAAGAGAAGAGAAGTTCGAATAAATGAAGTTAGAATAAGAGAAGAGAAGTTAGGATAAGAGAAGAGAAGAGAAGTTAGGAGAAGAGAAGAGAAGAGAAAGAGAGGAGAAAAGAAGTTAGGAGAAGAGAAGAGAAGTTCAAATAAATGAAGTTAGAATAAGAGAAGTTAGGAGAAGAGAAGAGAAGAGAAGTTTAGAAAGATGAAGAGAAAAGAGAAGAGAAGTTAGGAGAAGAGAAGAGAAGAGAAGTTAGGAGAAGAGAAGAGAAGAGAAGAGAAGTTAGGAGAAGAGAAGAGAAGAGAAGAGAAGAGAAGAGAAGAGAAGAGAAGAGAAGAGAAGAGGAAAAGGGCAGTACTATAGATGAGGGAGAGAAATGGGAGATAAACGGATGTAACTAAATGAATGAATAATGTATGTAAAAGGCAGGAAGAGGAGATGGAGCTTACTTTTATCTGTTGTTTTCTTAAAAATGACAGCATTTTCTCCTGTGGTGTAGAACTTGAAATACGTGCAGTTGGATTCTGAGAGAGAGAGAGAGAGAGAGAGAGAGAGTGAGTGAGTGAGTGAGTGAGGGAAGATTCAGAGACAGTAAAATGCACTCCGTCTCTGCTGTAAAGCCCTGTGAGGGTCATTGCGTATTAATGCGCTACGAGGACACTCAGTTAGCCCTGCGTATGAGACACTCGCACAGAAGCAGAAGCAGATGGAGTGGGAGGGACGATGTGAAAGACAGATGGAAAAGGAGGATGACAGAGACAGGAAGGAAAAGAGTGACTTTACTGTATGTTCAGCATTAAAGGGCCCATATCATGGAAACCATACATTCTTTGTTTTTTTAAAAAATTAAAAGACTTAGATATACTATGTAAACACTTAAATTTTGAAAAAAACACTCCTCGGTGTGGACAGCTGCCAAAACAGAGCGTTTTAAAGTCTTCATGGTTGTGATGTCACAACCATTAACTCATTTCCATATGACCACCCATTTAGCCTACAGAAGATTAGCCACCCATTCATGTTAAAGTGCTAAAGAAAACTGTTCCTCCAGACAGTCTGTAGTTTTTTGACTGAGGCATGATACAGGACGGCCAGTCAGAGCAGAGGTCATTTGCATATGTCAGTCACCAAAACAAGCTAATGCTAATTGATGGCTTTTCACTTTCATTCCTTAGTAATTCATCAGCTACATTAGCTTTTTAACAAAACTACTCAATAACTCAGTAAACCATATGGCTCAGTATGGGGGAGGCAACATTACTGCTCACTTTTTTTAATTATTAACAGTGGCTCTCATATATATACACCACCCCCGCGTACCCTCCCAATGCTGTAAGTGCACTTTTCCCTGCGGTGAAGATGATGATGATCATGCAGTTAAGAGCGTGCTGTAATATTAATCCCAGTAAATGCACCAGAACTGGTATAAATGACTCTCAGTGGCGCATCTAACAGCTAAAACAGGAGACGAATTAATAACGATAGTGAACACTATCTGTATGTATTATAGTGAACACTATCTGTATGTATTATAGTGAACACTATCAGTGTGTATTATAGTGAACATTATCAGTATGTATTATAGTGAACACTATCTGTATGTATTATAGTGAACACTATCTGTATGTATTATAGTGAACACTATCAGTGTGTATTATAGTGAACATTATCAGTATGTATTATAGTGAACACTATCAGTATGTATTATAGTGAACACTATCAGTATGTATTATAGTGAACACTATCAGTGTGTATTATAGTGAACATTATCAGTATGTATTATAGTGAACACTATCTGTATGTATTATAGTGAACACTATCAGTATGTATTATAGTGAACACTATCAGTATGTATTATAGTGAACACTATCAGTGTGTATTATAGTGAACATATCAGTATGTATTATAGTGAACACTATCTGTATGTATTATAGTGAACACTATCAGTATGTATTATAGTGAACACTATCTGTATGTATTATAGTGAACATTATCAGTATGTATTATAGTGAACACTATCAGTATGTATTATAGTGAACACTATCAGTGTGTATTATAGTGAACATTATCAGTATGTATTATAGTGAACACTATCTGTATGTATTATAGTGAACACTATCAGTATGTATTATAGTGAACACTATCTGTATGTATTATAGTGAACATTATCAGTATGTATTATAGTGAACATTATCAGTATGTATTATAGTGAACACTATTAGTATGTATTATAGTGAACATTATCAGCATGTATTATAGTGAACATTATCAGTATGTATTATAGAGAACACTATCAGTCCGTATTATAGTGAACATTATTAGTATGTATTATAGTGAACTCTATCAGTGTGTATTATAGTGAACATTATCAGTATGTATTATAGTGAACATTATCAGTATGTATTATAGTGAACACTATCAGTATGTATTATAGTGAACATTATCAGTATGTATTATAGTGAACACTATTAGTATGTATTATAGTGAACATTATCAGCATGTATTATAGTGAACATTATCAGTATGTATTATAGAGAACACTATCAGTCCGTATTATAGTGAACATTATCAGTATGTATTATAGTGAACTCTATCAGTGTGTATTATAGTGAACATTATCAGTATGTATTATAGTGAACACTATTAGTATGTATTATAGTGAACATTATCAGTATGTATTATAGTGAACATTATCAGTATGTATTATAGTGAACACTATTAGTATGTATTATAGTGAACATTATCAGCATGTATTATAGTGAACATTATCAGTATGTATTATAGAGAACACTATCAGTCCGTATTATAGTGAACATTATTAGTATGTATTATAGTGAACTCTATCAGTGTGTATTATAGTGAACATTATCAGTATGTATTATAGTGAACATTATCAGTATGTATTATAGTGAACACTATTAGTATGTATTATAGTGAACATTATCAGTATGTATTATAGTGAACACTATCAGTATGTATTATAGTGAGCACTATGTTATCAGTATGCATAATAGTAAAGAGATCATTAGTATATATTATAATACAATGATTATAAGGAGCCATTTATCCACTTTGTGTCCTAGAACAAGCACCAAAATATACATGGAAAAAAAACTGAAATTGAATACCAATTGCCTGGGTGTGAGTGATGTATAACAGGCTTCAAATATATAATAAAACATATATTAAAGTAAAAAATATGACCTACGTCATGCAGTGAGGAATATAAACATATTACACTGACAGGAAATAGTAAAAGAATGAGTTCTACTGCAGCTTTTCCACAGCTGATAAGGTACATCACCTCTTTAAGGGTAATTATGCATGTTCTAACCCAGATACATACATATGCATACTGCTGCATAATGTACCAGCCTGCAAAGTGCACAATATTATTGTTATTACTATTATTATTATTATTATTATTATACTGTATTTTGTCTTGTAGATTATTGTAGATAAATAAACTCAACTGCAGGGAATATTCACTATAATTTCTACCACAGTCAGCGAAGATACGTATATATTAATTATGAGAATTATGAGGGCACGTTTTAGCTTATTTAGCATATTTTATTTATATCCAGATTATATCAGTCTCAGCCCCCAGATTTGCATCTGTTGCCTTAATATAGTACTGGTTTCTGAAATGGAGAGAGAGAGAGAGAGAGAGAGAGAGAGAGTATTATTCAGTATTATTATTACTATTAAAGGTATACTCAAGCGTTTCCCAACCTCATCTGCTGCATCTGTAGCACAGCGTCAGTGATTCCATCAGGCTTCCCTGAACGTAGAAAAGTTCAGAGAAACGTGTTGAAATGACTGTCTGGTTAATTAACCACACAATACAGAGATCAGAGTGAGAAACACTGGAGCTTTTAGTATCAAACATCAGCTTCACTGATTCAGTATCACTGTTATGTTAGTAAAGCCATTTGAATCTGAAAAGGGAGAGAGACAGTAAAAAGACTAAGAGAGAGAAAGAGAGACAGGAGAGAGAAAGAAAAAAGAGAGGGTAAAAAGTATAAAAGAGAGAGAACGAGGAGTAAGTAAGAGTAACAGGAGAGAAAGTAAAAGAGTAAAAAAGGAAGAAATGAAAAGTAACTGAAAATGAAGATAGAGAGAGAAAAAGACTGAAAATGAAGATAAAGAGAGAGAAAGAGAGAAAGTAAATGAAAATGAAGATAGAGAGAGAAAAAGACTGAAAATGAAGATAAAGAGAGAGAAAGAGAGAAAGTAAATGAAAATGAAGATAGAGAAAGACTAAAAATGAAGATAGAGAGAAAGAGAGACAGAGCAAATGAAAATGAAGATAGACTGAAAATTAAGATAAAGAGAGAGAGAGAGAGTATCTGAAAATGAAGAGAGTAACTGAAAAGGAAGAGAGAAAGAGTAACTGAAAAATATGATAGAGCGAGAGAGTGTGTGTGTGTGAGAGAGAGAGAGAGGAAGAGAGACATAAAGAGAGAGAGAGAGAGAGAGAGGGAGAGGTAGAGACAGAGAGAGAGAGAGCAAGAGAGAGGGAGAGAGACATAGAGAGACAGAGAGAGAGAGAGAGAGGGAGAGACAGAGAGAGGGAGAGGGAGAGAGACATAGAGAGAGAGGGAGAGACAGAGATAGAGAGAGTAACTGAAAATGAAGATGGAAAGAGAGAGAGAGACAGAGAGACAGAGAGAGAGAGAGAAAGAGAGAGAGAGGTACAGGTACACTCAGCTCACCTCCGGGCAGCTCCGCCGGTCCACAGCTCTCCCTCTCCGGGTCGACGTCCATCACCCACAGTGTCCTGATGCAGCTCTTCCACAGGCCGTAATGGACCATCTTGCAGGTCTGTGTGTTCTGGAAGTGTTTGGGCTGCGAGAGCTCCACCCAGAACTCCGTCCCCAAGCCCAGCACGGTGAGGACCACGCCCACGATCGCCACGAAAAACGCCAGCTTTATCTTTCCCTCCTGGCTCTCGCTCATGCGAGCCGGCCTGGGCCTCTTACCCCCGCGGCCCCCCACGCCCCCCCGCCCCGCCCGCAGAGGCCACGCCCATCCGCCCCTCCTCTTCCTGCTGCATAAAGAAGTTAGACCACATGGTCCAACCCCAGGCCAGCGAGTCAGCTATTAAATTTAAGACTATTAGGATTTTTTCAGTAACAACTAAACTATGTAGCCAGATTATTCGGATATTACATTGTAATTACTATGAATTATTTATATTCATCATTATGTTTTATTTATACATTATTAGTTTGACTGCACATTGTACTACTACTATTACTACTATATTACATTTATGTAAAAATGTATAATAATCTCATTGATGTTGTTATTATTGTTAGTATAGTATATTTATACTGTTTAAAAATGTAATTATTTAGTAACAACCTTAGGTCCTTTTAAGGGGTTAACAGCTCTACAAGCAGGGAAAATAAAACGAGTGACGGTGAGAAAGGATGAGAAACTCCTAGGAGGAAATGAATAAAGGGGTAAAGAGATGATGGTAAATGATATCAAATGGGTTTAGGATTAAAAACTAAAGCTAAAGAATCAGAAGTTCAGATGAATAATGGACCTTCTGGAGGAGAGAGGGATGAGCAGCAGATTGATGCAATCAATCAAGTGAGATGGAGGAGGAATGATGGAGAGGCTGAAGAACGAGGGATGGAGGGATGCAGTGAAGAGGAGAGGAGAACAGGAGAAAGGGGTGAGGCCCTCTAGATCCACAGTAGCCAGATACACTTGTCTTTTTGACGACCCTGGAAAAAAAGGAAATAAACATTTGTCATGAGCTGAGTCTCCATTTGGGTCGGGGGGTTTTTCAACGTCCAGTATTTGTCCCTCTCTTTCTTTTCTACAGGTTAGGGGGAAATCTGTAAATAGTGCAGGTCCACTCTTACTGCCCAGCTGTCACTATCCAGATGTTAGAAAGATTGATAAATATCCATCTGAAGTACAGCTACACTGCTCCACTGATCAGAGGGCTACACTCCTTTCCATGGTTACAGTATACTCATTTCCATGGTTACGCTACACTCATTTCCATGGTGACGGTATACTCATTTCCATAGTCATGGTACACCCATGTCCATGGTTACGGTATACTAATTTCCTTGGTTACGGTATACTCATTTCCATTGCTATGTTACATTTATTTCCATGGTTACGGTATACTCACTTCCATAGTCATGCTGCACCCATTTCAATGGTTACACTACACTCATTTCCGTGGTTACGGTATACTCATTTCCATTGCTATGCTACACCTATTTCCATGGTTACGGTATACTCATTTCCATTGCTATGCTACACCTATTTCTATGGTTACGGTATACTCAGTTCCATTGCTATGCTACACCTATTTCCATGGTTACGGTATACTCATTTCCATTGCTATGCTACACCTATTTCCATGGTTACGGTATACTCATTTCCATTGCTATGCCACACCTATTTCTATGGTTACGGTATACTCAGTTCCATTGCTATGCTACACCTATTTCCGTGGTTACGGTATACTCACTTCCATAGTCATTCTGCACCCATTTCAATGGTTACACTACACTCATTTCCATGGTTACGGTATACTCATTTCCATTGCTATGCTACACCTATTTCTATGGTTACGGTATACTCATTTCCATTGCTATGCCACACCTATTTCTATGGTTACGGTATACTCAGTTCCATTGCTATGCTACACCTATTTCCATGGTTACGGTATACTCATTTCCATTGCTATGCTACACCTATTTCCATGGTTACGGTATACTCATTTCCATTGCTATGCTACACCTATTTCAATGGTTACGGTATACTCATTTCCATTGCTATGCTACACCTATTTCCATGGTTACGGTATACTCATTTCCATTGCTATGCTACACCTATTTCAATGGTTACGGTATACTCATTTCCATTGCTATGCTACACCTATTTCAATGGTTACGGTATACTCATTTCCATTGCTATGCTACACCTATTTCAATGGTTACGGTATACTCATTTCCATTGCTATGCTACACCTATTTCAATGGTTACGGTATACTCATTTCCATTGCTATGCTACACCTATTTCAATGGTTACGGTATACTCACTTCCATAGTCATGCTGCATCCATTTCCACAGTGACAGTATACTCATTTCTATGCTTACAGTGTATTCATTTCCATTGCTATGCTACACCTGTTTCTATGGTTACGGTATACTAATTTCCATGGTTACGGTATACTCATTTCCATTGCTATGCTACACCTGTTTCTATGGTTACGGTATACTAATTTCCATGGTTACGGTATACTCATTTCCATTGCTATGCTACACCTGTTTCTAAGGTTACGGTATACTAATTTCCATGGTTACGGTATACTAATTTCCATGGTTGCGGTATACTCATCTCCATAGCCATGCTTCACTCATTTCAATGGTTACACTACATGGTTATGATAGACCTATGTCTGTAGTTTCCATGGTCATGCAAGACACAGTTCCATGGTTATGCCAGGAGTTCCACTATGCTGACAGTTTCAATGGTTACAGTATACTTACTTTCACATTTACACTATATCCATATATATATATATATATATATATATATATATATATATATATATATATATCTGTAAAGTAGACAAAGAAAGGAGACATATATCATTTTATGAGAAGACAATTCATTCTGTTAAAGCTAACGTCAGTAACAGTACACTTTTGTGGCTGCATTAGCAAATAAGCAGTTCAATGGGTTGACTTAGTTTGCTAACGTTAGCCTGCACCAATGATAAACTAGCTCTTACGGCTAATGTTAGCTAAATAACCCGCATGGTCTGTACTTTACTGAAGTATTTCCATTTTGGGTGACTTTTTACTTTCACTCCACTACATTTCAAAGTCAAATATCTCACTTTTTACTCCACTACATTATGAGAAATCTGTCGCTCCTTTTGGTTTATGTGTGTATAAAAACGTAACGTCAAAACGAAAGAAGCTTCAAGCAAGAACACCAATCAGGACACAGCGCACTTAGTTTTGAGCTTGTTTTGAACTGTTGGTCATACCGACCCAGTGCAGCACACGGTTCAACGTCAGTGCAGCAGCGTAAACGTTTAGGAGAGTCTATTCAACATAAATGATGAACTAACCTAACTTTGTGTAAACAGACCACAATATAGAAATATGTACACATATGCAGTTGTGACTGACGTGTCTTTTTTCTGAATTTATACAAACACTATTTCATTTTATAGTAAATTAGTTTTGGCTAGTTTATGTTTATGAACAGAGACCTACAGATGCAGTTTAGTAGGAAACTCATCTGTGAATCTGAGTTTAAAGTTTTTATTAAACTTAAACTTGTAACTAAGTTCAAATAAATCTTAGACTGAAACTTTGCTTGTTTGTAAAAAATGATTTCAGAGCCACTCAGTTCTACCTGATGGAAACTGTTTGCCTTCAGTGTTTTGTGCTTATGATCATTTTAATAGACATCAGTGTCACTAATTAATGACTCTATTAAAAGACTGGTTTACCAAGAGTGACACTGGAGTATTCTCACCTAAAATGAGTTAATGAAGTGAGTCTTATTACAAAAATGATAATAGGACATCAGAGCCATAATTAATCTTTTAGTACTTTCACTTTTGATACTTAAGTACATTTGAAGACAAATACTTTTGGACTTTTACTCAAGTGGAGGTCTAAAGGGAGGAGCTTCTACTTTTACTGGAGTAATATTTTACCTTGGGTATCTCTACTTTAACTCAAGTACATGGTCTGTGTACTTCGTCCACCACTGGTGTCTGGGGGGGGGTTAATGTATCAGAAGGGGTCAGAGACCCCCCAGTTCAGATTTCTTTGTGGGAGAGCAAAAGATAAAACCAAGCAAGCACTTCAATCCTCCCTATTTTACCACCATACACAAGTTATTTTCATAACTAATCTAGCCAAAGAGCTGAAGGCCTTATACTTGGAAAATGCATCAGGAGCCAAAAATATCCTTACCTTATCCCATTCACCTATTTTTACAAAGCCCATTGCCGGTCAGGCTGCATATGGTAGATTAATATGGGTCAGGCGGTGCCCGCCCTCCGCATTACAGCTGGCTGACCCGCCCCTACGGCCTAACTCTAAATACTAATACTCCTTTAGCCCTGCACGTTTGATGTGAGCCATTTGTGGGGCATATAAATACCTGCACATTACTCGCGGTACAGGAGGGCAAGGTGCTTGCATGTGTCAGTAATTCTTAAACCAAGATGAGACGAGGGCTGATTTATGGAGGATTATGTGACTTGACAGACGAGACAAGAGTAACACAAGAGAGAGAGGGAGCGAGAGAGGGAGAAAGTGAGAGAGAGTGAGAGAGAGGGGGGGGTGTTAATTCGTTTGTGACTTGCTGACTGACAGGGAGGCTAAAGTCATTAGCAAGGAGAGACGGAATCATGACCTTGTTCACCAACACACACACATCCGGGAATGTTTTGGTCTGTCGCTTATTGAGAACATCCACTGGAAAAATTATCTGTGGAACGCAGCTACAATTATACTGAATACATAAGCAACAGAAAACATGAAAATCTTTTGGAATAAAGACACAAAGCACAAGCTGCACTCTTTTACACCCTCCTAGGAAAACAAGCATAGCTGCTCACCACTAAAACCATATCGCTGTTGTCAGAGGAAAACCTTGTACCTCCAAAATGGTAACTTTACAGGAGAAGAAAAAAACCTACTTTACTTTTAATGTAAGTCAATGGAACCAGACTTTTTTCCAAGTCATTTTGGGCCGTTTCTTTTGGTCCATTCATCATGAAATTTACACACAATGTAAAGAGCAACAGGTATTTTCAAATTATGTCAAAAACTGAAAAACGACAAAAATGGAGATACAAGGTTTTCCTCCGACAGCAGCGATATGTTGTGTTTTGGATGCTGGTATGCTGGCAAAACTAGCATGGCCATGCTGGCTGACCAGCTAAACCAGCACCAGCTTAAGCCAGCATGGAATTCAGTGTGGCATGTAAGCTAATCTACAAACCTTCCCAGATGCAAAAGTCAAAGAAGGCCATCAAAACAAAACAAGAAAGAAGAGCATTCTCCATCACAGCCTAAAATGAACCCACGAGGAACATCTGAGCAGATAATGTAGCCCTGAAGTCAGTTCAGCAGGAGAAGAGCTTAGCAATACTGGCTAATTCTCACTCTGAGCTTAAATTTGTTTGTTTTCATTCATTTTTTTAGGTAACGCATTCTTCCACCTGCTAAAAATGAAACGAAATTCCTACGTGATAAGCTAAACAGCAAAACAGAGCCATTGAAGAACCATCCTTTTAAAGTGTATACAGTAGATTTCTTAGAATCCACCATCTATTAGCACAGTAAGTGAAGTCTGTTAGACTCTATTCTTGTCTAAAATAAAACGTGAGCTGAATCCACACGACAGAACGCCATTTAGCCCCATTCACCCCATTTGCCACCGCCCCGGGCCAGTGTGCTCACTGCCCCCTAGTGTGTGTGTTCACTAGCATGTACGTGGTGTTTCACTGCACAGATGGGTTAAATGCAGAGGTGAAATTTCCCCGTTGTGGGACAAATAAGGGTCACTTAATCTTAACAATCTCAGCTAGTTTGCCAACAAGTTAGACAAATCTGCTGTGAATTCATAGCCAGCCAACGTCTATTAGCCAAATCTGAAACTAAACTTTAAAAACTGCAGATAGTTAGCCAACTATGAAACCAGCTGTGACTCATATCCAGTGCTAATTGCAGCTAATTAGCTAAATCAGAAACAGGCTGTGAGCGCTGATAATTCAAATTAAGCTATTTAGACAGCAATAGCTAATTAGACAACTATGAAAGTGATAATTCATATCAGTGCTAACAATCACAAAAACAACGGTCTGTCAGTTAACCTGTACAAACTATACTGTAGTCCCTGTTAAAAAAAGTCCGTAAGAACCATTAGTATTAAAACCTGATGGTTTTGCTTCCTAATGGGAACTGCTTTAATGGTTACCCCAGAGAGCATCAGACTCCTGTAGAACACCTAGAACAACACGTAGAACAACCAGGAGCTGAATGAAATAAAACCCAAAAAAGAATGACCTATATATATATATATATCTGTTGTTGGAAGAAAACCTCGTATCTCCATTTTTGTCGTTTCATGATGAATGGACCAAAAGAAACGACCCAAAATGACTTGGAAAAAAGTCTGGTTCCATTGACTTACATTAAAAGTAAAGTAGGTTTTTCCTTTTCCTGTACCATTTTGGAGATACGAGGTCTTCTTCTGACAACAGCGATTTATATATATATATATACATATATATGTGTAGTAAAGAACATCTATATAGAACCTTTTATAGCACCAAATGGATTCTGCTATTGTTACAAGCTTGACATCGTAACAATAGAAGAATGCTTTTTGGTGCTGTATAGAAAAATAAACAACACATTCTCCGTCGATCTGAAGAACCATTTCATGATGCAAAGAACCATTTACGCATGCAAAGGTGTCGATCTAGAACTCATGGTTCTAAACAAAACCATTGAAGAACCATCTTTTTTAAGTGTATGCAGTACAACTTTTTAGAATTCATCGTCTACTAGCACAAGTGAATCTGTTAGTCTGTTTTTTGCCTGAAATATTGTCTAAAATAAAGTGTGCGCTGAGTCCACACAAAGAATGAAATAAAACTAAAAAAAGAATCAGTCATGGAATAAATAAATATACATTTACAGTAAATAACACTTGTAAAATACACTGTAATATGTTTAATTGTATACTTGAATACATTATTTATACTGCAATGCATTCTCAAATACAGGTGGAAATATATTTTCTAAAAAAATGCATTTTGACAGTCGTATGCAAAAGTTTGGTCACCCCCGATTAAACGACATGCTTGTGTTGATTTTCTGAGTGTGAATAAGTGAACACGTCCTCTAATGAGAACACACTTCTGCACACAGTAATGCTGTTACTGCTGAATTATTTTGCTGAATTTTAACATTTTATCAAGTGTGGCCTGTTCAAAAGTTATGGCACGTTTGATCTGTTCTGTCCCCCATTTGTCCATGTTAAACTCACAACAAACAGAAACCGTGGGCTAAAATTAGCAGAAGAATGTCGTATTTAAGCGTGTTCTCGGTAGAGGACCGTCTTAAATTCCTTTTACTTAGAAAATCAGCAACACGTCATAGAACCTGGGGCGCCAAAACTTTTGCACACGGCTATATGTCAAATTACATTTTTTTTTAAGCAAACATACATTTCCACCTACATCTGAGAATATATTGCAATATAAATAATATAGTCAGATACACCTTTGAATACCTTTGATGTCCTACACAAAACTGCTTAGGAAGAATTTAGTCCAGTAATTTTAACCAGTATATTAATACGTATACTTTAGTGGCATTAATTGGGTCAACTTCAGATGTTGGCACATATTCTAAAAATATACTTTAGAAATATATTTCAAACAAATTGTTTTTCCTTGTGAGAAGGAAGTAAACGTTAATGGTTAAAATGGAAGTGAGGGAAAAGCAGATTACTCACTAATATACTCGCGAGGAAGTGAACAAGCAGATGGAACTGGTTAAATACTCGCCTTTGTTTTCTGCATTAAGACCGACTGTGTTACGAGTGCAGTGCAGTGTTAGAGCAGCAGTCACAGTGAAAGCAGACCGTACCTGATCCCTGGCTCAGCGAATCTGTGAGGATCAAATATATGAGAGTCCGCAGAAAGAGGGAGAGAGCGAGCGAGAGAGAGCGTGTGAGCTGTGAGAGGGAGGGTCTGGGGGTCTGGGGGGTCCAGAGCTGGGCATAGAGAGAAATAGTAAAAACAAAACAATATGGATACTAAATTTGCTTGTAAACGTGTAAATATGAACAGAGGTTTATGTTGTTTTTTTTATTCGTTCCACTTTAGATGCAGTAAATCTTTAATTGTGCAGAGAAAATGATGACAGAGCGTCAAACTGCGCACATACGACTGTCTGTGTGAGAACTTTCTATTTTAGACAAGCACCTGTTAATGACATTAAGAGAGAGAGGAAAGAGGGAGGGGGGGGAGAGGGAGAGGGGGGGAGAGAGAGAGAGAGAGCGAGAGAGGGGGGGAGAGGGAGAGAGGGAGAGGGAGAGAGAGAGAGAGGGAGAGAGAGAGAGAGAGAGAAAGAGAGCGAGAGAGAGAGAGAGAGAGAGAGGAAGGGAGGGGGAAGTGGGGAGAGAGAAAGGAGGAGAGAGAGAAAGTGAGGGGGAAGGGGGGAGAGGGGGCGAGACAGAGAGAGAGAGAGAAAGTGAGGGGGAAAGAGATGGGGAGAGAGAAAGTGAGGGAGAGAGAGAGAAAGAAAGAAGGGGAGGAGAGAGAGAGAGAAAGAAGGGGAGGAGAGAGAAAGTGAGGGAGAGAAAAAGAGAAAGAAGGGGAGGAGACAGAGAAGGGGAGGAGAGAGAGAAAAAGAAGGGAAGAGAGAGAAAGAAAAGGTGAGAGAGGGAGAGAAAGATGGGGAGGAGAGAGAAAGTGAGGGAGAGAGAAAGAAGGGGAAGTGAGGAGAGAGAAAGAAGGGGAGGAGAGAGAAAGTGAGGGAGAGAGAAAGAAGGGGAAGTGAGGAGAGAGAAAGAAGGGGAGGAGAGAGAAAGTGAGGGAGAGAGAGAAAGAAGGGGAGGAGAGAGAGAGAAAGTGAGGGGGGAGAGAGAGAAAAAGGGGAGGAGAGAGAAAGTGAGGGGGGAGAGAGAGAGAAAGTGAGGAAGAGAGAGAGAGAGAAAAAAGGGGAGGAGAGAGAGAGAGAGAAAGAGAGAGAGAGAAAGAAGGGGAGAAGAGAGAGAGAAAGAGAGAGAGAGAAAGAAGGGGAGAAGAGAGAGAGAGAGAGAAAGAAGGGGAGAAGAGAGAGAGAGAGTGAGGGAGGGAGGGATAGAGAGAAAGTGAGAAATAAAATGCTGTCCCACATTTTCATGCCCCTACTGAATCACAGTCAGATCCCAGTGTTTTGAAGTAAACGTGTCCCGAAGTCTGAAAAACCATGTAGAACATTAAAAATGATCAACAGTAACTTTTTGTGTTTTAATGAAAAACCTGATGATTTTCTGTGTGAACAGCTGTTCAAAGCTGTGCTCATGTTCTGGCTGCATTTCTGAGCTCAAAATGAGCTAAAACTGTTACTCCTGAAATATCTGGTCAAGTTTCAATTGTGTTGAGATTGTTTTGGTAGTGACAAAATGGAAGGTTCAATCAGTGATTTTAATAAAATAAAGTAATAATAATAATTCTAATAATGATCAAGCAATAATTAAGGTACAGGGTCACTCAGAGCAGAATTTTAGTCTAGTCAAGTTAAAAGACCCAAATATTTCTTCAACTCTGACTTTGAGCCAGTTCAGTAGAATAATCGATACAGTTCCAATTTTGAGAACGTTTTTGTTTATTACAAGATATTAACAACCTGATGACTTACATTTTGTTGAAGTGGCAGGTGGGGGCTTCCTGAATTGTTCATAACCTCAGGACCTACTTCAGTACTAGCTGGAATCTAAAGACAGTTCACAGCTTGAAGTGATTATGTGTGTGTTTATATATACACATACACACACACACACACACACATATATATATATATATATATATACATATATATATATCGCTGCTGTCGGAACCTCGTATCTCACAAATAATAACTTTACAGGTGAAGGAAAAAACCTAATTTATGAAATTACATACAATGTAAAGGTCAACAGGTTTTTCCAAATAGTGTAAAAAACTGAAAAACGTCAAAAATAGAGATACAAGGTTTTCTTCTGACAACAGCGAGATATATATATATATATATATATATATATATATATATATATATATATATATATATATATATATATATATATATATATAAGCTGTCCAAAGACAACTATGTATCTCCATTTTTGTTGATTTTTATTTTCTACATACTTTGAGAATGATAGCTGTCCTTTACATTGTATGAAAATGAATGTCATCATGAATGGACCAATAGAAATAATCACTTGGAATAAACCTTCTTTACATTAACTTGCATTAAAAGCTAAGATTTGGAGATATGTTTTTCTTTGGACAGCAACTACATACACACACACACATATATATATATATATATATATATATATATATAGATAGATAGATAGATAGATACAAAGCAATTTCACCGAAAACAGGAAAGGCTCGTACTTTCATGAACCAAATATATGGAATGGTTTCATAAACTAAATAAATATATAAACCTGATTTAGTTCAGCCATGTTGTTTACGTTGATTTATGTTCAGGACACTACAAAAGATCAGGTACACACAAACACAGTCATATGCAAAAGGTCTGATCACCCTCAGTCAAGTTACAGCTGATTTTCTAAGTGAAAATAAGTTAACACATCCTCCACAGGGGACCCACTTAAATATGGCTTTTTTCGCAAACATTAGTGCACAATTTGTATTTATTTGCTGAATTTGATATTTTGTAACACATAACTTTTGCACAAGCCACATTTTGTTTTACACCCCTCCCTTTCCCAAATATGCTGAATTCAGAAAATAAATACAAATTGTGCACTAAAACTAGCAAAAAAAAAAAGACTGAATTTAATATTTTGGAAAATATAAAACATATCAGTAAATGTGACAGAACTTTTGCAAAAGCCACATTTTATTTGCTCCCTTCTAAAATATGTTAACTATATACATTTAAAAATGTAGAGGATGTTTTAACTTACTTTCACTTGGAAAATAAACAAAAAACGTCATTTGACCGGGGGTGCCCAGACTTATGTTGCATACAAACAAATCCAAATGATAATTTGTTATCTGCTAATGATAACCAATACATCCAGCAAAGGGATCAATGTTTACTACTTTAATAATGACACAATCTTATTCTTAAAACATATTAAGTGAATTAGTAGCTCATTCTTAACTCATAATTATGATGGTCTTATTATAAGATAGCATAATTATGAGACAGTATCTTGCATTTACCTTACTATGTCATTAAGAGGTACTATCCAGTAATTGTTATCTTTAAGCAATAGAACATGAGGGAGTGATGATCTACGGCCAAACGTGTAGTCTGATCTTCAGAGTCTGACCAAATCGGTCTGAGCCATAAAACTGCCGCAATATCAAGTTCAGCTCAGTTTTGTCAGTTTTTGCCAGATCAGTATTAATGTTGTTTTGTTCCAGCCAGTCTGTAAAGCATCTTACAGCCCATTTAGTTTGGCGAATGGTGTTGTGTTCATTTCTGGCTGATTCCAGGTTGTTTAGGTTCTTCTGTCACAGCTGCCGACTGAAAAGCTGCTCAGTGGTGATGACAGTTTGGGAATTTAGTGTCGTCTCATCTTCAGAGTCTGACCAAATCGGCTGTCGGTCAAATGTGATCTTAAAAGTGTCCATTTTCTGTTTGTGGCAAAGTAAGAAGTAAAAACGTTCAAATGGTTTGAGCGTCTCCTACAGCTGTCAAAGTCGTTGCTTAGCAACGGCGTCTCAGCGGAGTGATACAGTGTTTGTGAAAAATGCTTCTTAAACAATCAGCTTGCATGACCGGAACTAACTGTTGTATAATTGCTGTTATATAGCAAAAATCACAATGGAAATAAGTCTTAGACTATACAACAATTAGTACCTTGTAATGATGTCTTCTTTGGTATTTTATGAATTATGAGATTCTCTCACTCATAATAATGAAATACTCTTTACTACAATCGGTAGGTTAACGTTTTGTTTTTTATTATGAATTTGAGAAATCACATTCTCAGAAAAACAAAGCAAAACAAAAACACAACTGAAAATATTCAAATACTAACCGCCCCACCCCTGTCGCACATTCTCGGGTGAATAGCTTAACTACGCTTTGCTGTGAGCAGTATAGACTGATGGTGCTAACAAAGCCAAAGTTAGCTTGTTAGCGCCGGCCTGTGACCTTCACACACGGACAACAATGAGATGAGATGTTTAAGCAGGAAACACATTCGAACGCTTCGACTTTATTACGTCAAATGATTCTACTGGTCCTCGTACAGCGGCATCGTATTAAATCAACTCGATCAGCTTATTACAGTTTTAAAAAAACAGCAGTGGACAGTCGAATACAGAATGTATAAAAAAGGAAAAGAAAAGAAAAGAAAGACACGTTCATATATTTTTTTCCTCTGGGTACAAATTTGGTTAGATCAGGTCAGGACATATCAGCTTGCAAGAAAAAGAGGGATGGGAGAGAAAAAGAGGCAGACATTTCATTCTGGATAGGAAAACAAGGGAAAAGAAATGAACACAGACACAATCCTATAAAAACATACGCAGTAGCCTGTTTGTGTATTGAGACTTTTTTTTTTTAACATAAACAGAGAAAATCACTGTTAATTGTCCTATTTGCTCTCCTTACACAGTCGGTTCATTCTAACATTACAGTTTTCAATCCATTTCAGACTTGACCGGTTTCCTCTTTGGTGGTGTTGCTTTCAAAAATCAGGAGCTCTAATTAATAAGGGGGTCGATTTCAATACAGTACTGAAACAATTCATTTCTGCCGTATTAAAACTCTGGTTTGAGCGTCTCTCAATTGCTGTCACCAGCCATGTTTACATGCAGCCTAATAATCCGACTAATAGCTCAATCGGAATAGAACACGTCAATGTATACACTTCAAATCGGAA